AATATTGCAGATAGCAACACCTTCAAATACTTTATTCCTTGCCACAGCAGATATCGTGCCAGGTTTCATCAGCTTCCTTTGCACCGATCTTAGGAGCATTTGCCCTTTAAAGTGCAGTATACTCAATTGCTCTATTATGTCAGTTAGTCACTTATCTTGGGACAAACTAATAGACTTGCTCATTAGGATCATTAGCGGGTACTGTATCTCTCGCATCTATCATGTATGTACATATGTATGTACAAATGGGCGGTTCAAGATCGGTTAGTGTTCTACAATTATCGAACGGTAATTAGCTTTTAAGACAATTATTTAAATGAAGAGTCCGACAGTTTCTGTTGAACATTTTGTTTGTTCTTACACTTTCCCAACTCTTCCTTTTACAAAGATCATACAAAGCTAGGGTAAATAAATAACAATGACTTCTGTTTAAATTTTTAAGGGACCAAATAAGTAAAAAAAAACTTCCCCTAAAAAAGTACATGCATAAGTGGAAAGTTTCTGAATTTAAAATTAGTTAAGGTTCTCCCCAACTTGTTTTACGTATTCTCGAATACATATGCAAATGCATACAATATACATATACCAAGTCGTGTGCAATAATAAAAAAAGAGACTTAATGAACAAATTAACGAAAGCATTTTACGAGACCTCCCCAACAAGATCAATAACAGTTTCTGTTCGCATACACGCAGTCGAACATTTATCATACGTATGAACATACATATCTACATATGTATGTAGGATAGGATGGAATAAAAATGGATAAAAAATAATGAAAACATTCCTATACAAAAACTTACATCATCGTGTTGTGCAGAGAGGAAAGACAGAAAATAGCGCCCGTTAAATAGCAAGCATGCATATCTATATACATATAATGTATACATACATACATATGCATGTAAATATGTTGCTAAAATGTTCTTGTTGTTTTTTGGGTTAACGAAAAGAAGTAACGCAAATTGCGCGTTTAAAACGGTCCTATTCTTCGCAGTTCCTTTGAACGCACCACAGAGGAGAAGGAGAAAGAAAAAATAACAACAACACTAAGTGCAAAACGAAATCTGATAAAAGCAAAGACCACGGTGGATGAATTTAAGGTGAGGTGTTTTTGCACCGAAACGTTCTCTCTTCAAACATTTGCATAAATTAAGGGCCTTCAGAACGAGACAGAGAATAAATTTGTACATTGAATGTAATATGTACACATTTACATATTTAACAAAATATTTTTTCTATCGAAAACAACAAATAATTAATTCTCTTATTTCCCTTCATTTTTCATGTTCTACCTGGCACATCTCATCTCTGTTGTGCTGTCTCCGTTGCGGTAAATGCCAAAGAAAAGGGGAAAGAGCAACAACAACAAAAACAAGAACAGCACCACCAAAAGGAAGACGCAGTTGAAGAAAAAGTGTTTGTGTCGCGAGTGGAGTGTAGCGGTGTGTTTGTGTGCCAGTGTACAGAGAAAGCACAAAAACAGCAATAACACATTAATGAATTTCGTGATTAAAAACATTTCAAAGGTACAACAAAAGCTCATTTAATATAAAAATAAGAAGGAGGCAAAAGCAAGGAAAAAACCAAACTGAAAACAGAAATTAAATCAAATCGCTGCGGGCGCCAACAACAAACGTGGCAAAAAACTAAACCGCAAAACGAAAACGAAAACGAGAGCGACAGCTACAGTGAGAGCAAGAGCGATCGCTAGTGAGTGAGTGAGTAAGTTAGTGAGAGAGATAGTGTCGGAGAGCGAGCAGAAGATCGCGAGAAAAGAGCGCGAGCAGAAGTCAACGAGCAACGGTTAAACAAAAACAAAAACGAAGCCAGAACCAAAAACCAAAGCCAATTGCGCACGGAACCCGACGAACCATACAACCAGTTGGCAATACGGAAAACGTTAACTAACACAAAATACACAACTTATACGGTATATAACCAAAATCGGCAGTAGTTCAACGATTATTCGGTAGAACTACCAGAAAATGGTCAACAAATCCAATGGAAAGGTAGCGGGGCAGCAGCAGAAGGCGGACAAGGAAAAGGAAAGGCAGCCAGAGACAATGCTGCCGGTGGTGGGCACCACCAGCAACAATCAGACGACACAAATAAACAACAACAACAATGGCAACAAAAGCAAAAATCCAAATGTCAAGACCAACAACAGTGCCAGCAAGAAGAATCCTGGCAACCAAAAGGGACAACAACAGCAGTCGCAGCAGCAGCAACAGCAGAGGACCAATAAGAAGGGCAAACCCCAGAGACAACAGATCTTCCTGCAGTCGCTGCCACGCGACACCAGCAACTACAGAAGCTACAACCACAGCAACAGCAATAATAGCAACAGCAACAACAACAGTAGCAGCATTCTGGTCACATCTGCAGCAACCGACAATGGGGTGAGCAAAGTGAATCCCGCCGAGCTTTTGACCGCCGCCTTGGCCGTGCCCTGTGCCAAGTGCTCGAAGCCATCGATGATCACCCCACTAACGTCCGCATCCACCTCTACCTCTGCCTCTGCCGTCTCCGCCGTCTCCGTTGCCTCCTCTTCGGCCTCGACCACATCCAATTCGGAGACCGCGAGCAATCACAGCGAACTGAGCTTTCCCGAGCCAATGGTTTACTCGGCCAAGCAGTACCGCAAATCCAAATCCTACATGGGCGTGTCTCAATACAACAGCTCCGGCTACGGTTCCTATCAGAACTCTTCCGGCCGGGGATCGAATGGAGCCACCTACAGACGCTCGCACAGCGATCGACGCAACTCCTTTGATCGCACATTCGCCGAAAGGAATCGCGACTTTGTGCCCATTGTGCCACCGCCGCGACCTGTGCTCTCATCCTCGAACATTGCCGGTGTCATGGCCAGTTCCACCAAGTTGACGCTCATCGAACGCTTCGGCAAAGGACGCCTCGCGTATCCCATAATGCAGGTGAGTTTCTAACAAGGTCATAATATTAATTTTGAATATACCACAATTTGTAGCTCTTCGCCTGAGATCTGGTTCAGGGTCAATAGAGTTTTGTCTTTAAAGTTGAGAAATTTCCATTAGTTCTGTTGTCACATTCGAGAAGTTCTTTCTAATCAGCCTCGCGCAGCCAGCTACCGCGGGAAGCGGTTATAATTAATGGCACAAACAAGAACTGCTGATAAGGAAAAAAAGAAAGAGAGTGAGTGCAGGGGAGGTAGTTTTTTAGTCATCTATTTATTTTCGATAAGCTGATTTCATTTTCAGAGTCGTAGAAACCAAAGTGAAGTTCTTGAAGTTCTTCTAGAAACTCGAAACAATCTGAAAGATTTACTCCTCCCTGAATGATTGCTATTTCATTTTTCTTATCTGTTTTTCCCCAATTGTTGCTGCAAGTTATTTACGTTATGTTATTTACGGCTATGCACTGGCACGGGTGTATACGTCATCTTCTTGAACTTTTAAACAAATGCGATGCTAATATACGGAAATAGGGTATCTTGCCTTGAGTATCTGCGTCAGTTCTAATATGCAGATATTATGTGTTTAATATCCCCCAAGCCTCTACGCAATCACAAAACGAAACGAACAACTCCCAACAACTCGGCACAGAAGTTTGAACCAAAAGTATTTATGCAAATTGCCTGCCTCGTCTTTGATTCGATTGTAGAAATATAAATAAAATAGCAACCGAAAGTGGTTTGATTAGCATGTGCCACTTAGTTAGTTGCCAAAAACTAGTTCTAAAAGTTATAGACAAGACAAAAAAAAATCTGTTTGGACTCAGGAAAAAACAAGATACATCGATATGAAAAGTAAAACTTGTTTAGGGGGGTAGCTCTATGTGAAATCCCTGCCAGCAAGTCAGAGGACCAAGCCGGTCACAACATCTTCCATTACCGATACTACTTCTTGGCTGCGAATGTAATTACCTTCGTTTTGTGTATGATTGAACAACTGTTTCCACTGAATTTGTCTGGCCTTAGCATTGCTTTTGTTTGCCTTCAAAAAAGATCAACAAATACTGAAACAAAAACATTGAAATGTTTTGAAAAACAAACCCAACACACATTTTCAAATGAATCATAACTCTTTCGCTCTCTCTCGCTCTCTCTCACTCTCCCTCTCTCTCTCTCTCTTTATATATTGCTTGCTCTTTTGTGGCATTAAAGATTCTCACCATGTACAATTGTACCTACTGTTTCTGTTTGCTGCTGGCACAGTGGCCTGAGGTCTCGCATGACATCCGTGAAATCTGTTTGCTTGGAAACAAATCTGGCTCCACACGTGGCCAACACTTTAGCGAACGGAAACGAGCCAATTTTGATAAGATAGTGGAGCTGGTGGTCATCAACAGAGCTCTGTTTCGGCAAATACTATATGCATATTCTCATATCTCCTGAGGGGTACAGTACGTACACCTCTTGGAGCAGTAGAGCACTTCAAGATTTGGCTTAACAATATAAGAAATTCTCGAATGTTTTAAATCAATTTGTATATTTTTTCATACTATATTTTGCACTTATTATAACTATAATGCCATTGGCAATGGAATTTCTACGCCTGATTAAAATCAAGTAAAAGATTTTCACTTATCAGTGGCTGCTATTCATACAACTGTAAATATATCATATTTTCAATACTCTTTTGCATACGTCAACTGTGAACAATGGAAACTGAATGCATATCAATATGCACAGGTGGGAACACGATTGACAAAAGAACAGTTTGCATTACGAGAACATGGGGGCAAGAAGACACCTGATATAACTCCACTTAGAAAGCAGACTTTATTCTCTTGTACGATTATCTAAATGTGTAAATATCGCCCGAGTAACCCCCTCTACGTTCTCCTAATTATTATACATACGTATTATATTCGCCAAATTGCATATTGTTATTCTGAAATTGCCACAGCTGCTCCGAGTGTGGGCCAAACGTTTGCCCAATCCAAAACTTCGGTTAACTGCGTAGTAAAAAAATGTATTTGAAATTCAACGAGTATTTTGGCTGACAGCAAAAGTGAAAGAAACTGCAAGTGTGTGCGCACCTCTTTGATCATGGAAACATGTGGCAGAACTAGATAAAATTTAAAAATAAAAGGAATATAAATTAATTGTCAAGTGTGCTCGAGGAGTAGGCGAAGTGCCTAGAAGATAATGCTGTTCGGATAAGAGGAGGAGTTACTGGGGGCTGCTGTCACGTGTGCTTATCGTTAACGGCGCTGACAGAAAGCGTGCAAAATATAATAAATTTTGCGGGCCACAAAGAGGCGCCCGCAGGAGGTACATGACTAGAATGTTTCAATGACTATTCAAATTTCAGATTTATCAGTCCATAAAAAGAGCAAAAAGGCAGCCTTCGACAAATAGTCTTGCGCCTAGAGAACGCTTAGCGCAAATATGGCTGAAAGGTTTCTGAGCCAAGCCTAAAATTATGCAACAAACGCGACTTCCTAAAGCTTTTAAACATTTACGTTCGAAGTTACTGAAACACTTTGAAGACTGGCTTTGGCTATCTTCTGCCATGTCTTATACGAAAGATTAACTTATTCATTTTCTGTATCTGCATTAAAAGATATATGAATACTCTCTCGCTGAGAGAAGATTTGAACTTGTTCTCGCATTCTTTGCGTTCGATTTTGTTGTCTTTGCAACTTTCCATGCCCACAAACTACATGTAGTTTCTAGGCTCTCATAAAAACACTCACATTTTATCATTCTTTGTGCTTCGAGTCTTAACTCATAAATCAATTCAAATTAATCACATCATCCTACCTACCGAACCAATTCTATTCATGCAAAAAGATTACATACAAAATTGCACTAAATGTTGATTAAATTGGGGGGAAATGTATTTGTCTTTCCTTTTCTAAAAGTAAATATGTGTGTCCATTGGTATGTGAGCAGATCCTTCATCCTCCTGTCATTTGCCTTTGTGTGTTACGTTCCCTAATTAGGTCAAACAAAGGGACCTTCAATTAGAGGAGAGGAGGACACCAAACACTTGACTGGCGGTTGCCACAGGAAAAAAGTCTCTGTGTGCGTTGTTGGGGCCATGACATGAGGTGCCTTTTAAAATAAGTAATAAGACCTTCCACACGTTGTGGGCCACAATAGCTACAGTCAAGACTCTCTTGGGCAACAGTGTGCCTGGACTTTCAGTGTCTGTCGAGCGATCTTCACTGTACTTCTGCATACATAAATCACACGAACAATAAATTAAATCAAAATAAAAACAAAAACAAAACCATCAAAATGCTGAGCTCTCGCACTGCCCCCCGATAAGAGGTGAAGAAAGCAAAGGAACTTGCAAATGTTTGCGGTCTCCCACATGTACAAATATATTTATTTATTGTTTTTGTTGCTTTCCTCTGCGGCCGCTGCGGCTGTTGCGATAACAATGCGTGGAAGAGTGGGGAGGGGAACATGCAGATAGAGAGAGAGAGAGAGAGAGAGAGAGATAGAGGAGGTACTGGCGAGAATTGTAGAAAATACAAGTTCAATTATTTGCTGTTGATAGCAGCAGCAGCCACAGACGCGGGGGCATTCCAATCAAATAAATTGTATTTATTTTTAAGGCACTTTTGTAGATTTTAGATTGAAGTGATTTCTGATAACAACCAAACAAAGACAGCGACAGAGAGGGGGAGCCAGAAGGGAGTACTTGAACGATTGAGCAGACATTTGTGAGAGGCACAAATGCTGATCTCTCGGTACTACTAATACTCGTATTGCTGAGATCGAGTAAACACGCTTCGATTGTAAACCAAAGCAGAATCCGGAATTGTAACGCAATTGCAATGCAGTTTATTGAACTCTCTCTCTCTCTGTGCTCGCTGGAAGAGATAACTTAGGGAAGTGGCTTTCAAGTGCTTTAGTAATGGTTTACCCTTATCTAGGGGCTTTACATTGCATTGCTTAACAATCAGTTCACAAGGTAAAGCAGAGGTGCTTCAAATCGGATATTCTAGAAAAGACATTTACGATCCAACTATTTATATCTTGCTTCGCACTTTCATTTCATCAGCGGCTTGTATGTTGTCATCGTAGTTACTATTATTTATTAGTTAATAATAACTATCAACGGTTATTTAGATATATTTCTCCCTATATATCTAATTTGCGCAGATTTGTACGCTCCCTAATTACAAGTTGGCGTACAACTCCTTTACCAATTGATTTTTTTTTTCTTAAACGAACACCAAGTCCGTGCATGTGGTAGCAATTGTGTGTGTATGAATCTGTGTGTATGGTAAATTACTTGCTAGACGTTGCCACTTGCATTCCTTTGTAGCAAATGCAACAAAATGCTTTGCAATGCACATTCGCGTGCACCTTTCAAATTTTGGTTGTTATTTTTTGGTTTTTTTGTTGCAGTTTTGCCTCTAATCTCTGCGTTTGACTTGCAATCGGTATTTCGTTGTTGTTGTTGTTGTTGTTGTTGCTTCTTGTTAGGCAAAAAGAGTTCATATTTTGTTCAGAGCATACGATTGCCTCACTCTTTCTGTCCCCTCTCTCACTCTCTAGCAGTCTGTTTCTGTGATGTGTATGTCGGTGGCCGGTGGCCTCCTCAATTTGGTATTTAAAAGACATTTAACATTTACGCGCTTGACTAACGCTTTGCTGGCTTGCTTTATAGCCGCATCGGCGGATTCTCTGACATTTAAATCAGCGGCTCTAGCGAGGGAGTGCAAGTCAAAGCTTGTTTTTGAGTGTATGCCTTGGACCCATAAATGAGCGGAGAACTCTTGAGGCAAGTTCCCCTTTTTGCCAGCTGTATCGGAATTCCCTTACTTTGATGGATTGTATTGTCTGTCTAACACGTCTCACACATTCCCATAATTTCCAACGAAATAGTTGTTCCTGGGCTGATATGCAATTACTTTTGTGAGTGCTGAAGTATTTCCTAGAATTTCTGTAACCTGAAAATACATTCTAATGTGTTGCCAAATTGCTCTCTGA